TTCACGGTAATGCTGTTTTGTTTTATTCATGGAAACCTTACGGCAACATAATTGGATAGCACTTAAATCGTCAAGTAAAAAAATACTACAAGAAAGTACTTAGGCTTGTTTTGCAACAAGAAGATTAATTAATTTTTCACTTTAAACAAACTTAATGAATTGCCAACATTTGCAAAGAAATACAATACCATTGTACTTGTTCTTGTAACATTTTTTGCACTACATACTACAACAGAATTGCTTTCTAATTTTCCCTTAAAATTTTCCAAAATGAGCTTTGCGCGTCATAAAACGCCTACGTAGGTACTTCTATCAAATAGTAGAATAGTTTTATAAAGCTGGCAGCCTATTATATTTTATCATCCTCGTCAATTTGGTCGATCCTTTAAGAAAGGCTACTAAACCAGCCCCTCTTAGCCTATATAATCCCCATAACATGGCCCCAATTATCAAAGATTGTTCTACATCCCTGAGCACAAGCAGATTTAATATAATGCTTATAAGATTAAACGATGGAGCAGCTACAAAATCACACCTAAATTGTACCTAACACAAAACCAATTAAACTAAAGATTCTGGAGTTAGTTCTTTGTGAATAATTATTTCATTAAATAAAATTGGACAGCCAAATTGCTTTTAAAAGTACGCCTAGCTCTCATAATTTTTCTACATAACCAACCTAAACACTTCTTGATGGAGTAGGTATACTAACACGTGTTGAAAAACCTTAACTGAAAAACACTTAGTAGTGTCAAGAATTTCATTATGTGGTCACCACAATACTATTTCGCCAAATATTGGCTTCATCAGATGATAATTTGGCAAGTCAATTTGAAGAAGACTCAACAGTACAAAACAATTGCAGAGCGAACGCGACATTAAAGTGAGCATTTAAAAGTAATTTGATTGTTTTATTTGTTTAATTGATTTATTTGTTATCCCATTACCTCCAAATAGAATTCGCTCATACCCCAGTCAGCACTTAGCTGTAATCCAGTTCGAATGGTTTAATTAAAATCCGAACTTTCCAGTTCATATGAAGATGATGAGAACACACAACCTAAAACACATACATAAATGAATTAATATTGTTGATTACAGGACATAAGGCACCAGTAAACAACCCCCTAACTCGTGAGCTTTGTATAATTACATGCGGAGGAAGAACATACTAGCTAGCACTATAATTAAAACAACACCGACTTGAAGTTGAAAGCAACCGGTGAACACTGTGGGGTTCCCGTGCCCATCCCCCTAGACAGCTCCGCTTTCCATCGCTGCCCCTTCAACCGATACCGCTCCAACAAAGCTGATGCATCTCCATTGTAATTGTCTGCCAATGAGGTAGCTAGAGTGCACTTACGGTAATTGACTTCAGGACGATGACAAGATGATAGAATATTGAAACGAATTTTTCCGATGAGAGATAACCATAAAAATGCCATAAAGTATATAAATGGTCTCTCAGTTATTTGTGGTTTATTTTCTTTAAATGTTCCTAGGTATAATAGATACCAGAAGGCCAGAAGCTATCTCCATGAATGATAAAAAGATTGAAATTAATTTTTAAACTTTTGGAAAGAACAGTTAACAAAATCACCATGGTCAAAATGATGGTATTATTTCTCAATCCGGAAAAGCTCCAAGTAACTTTTAGTATTATTTTTAAGGTGCATCACCTGTTTTGATAATCTAGAATGGAGTATTTTCGTTTTGCCAAAACATCAAACAGGTATGGATAACTGTATAAATTCGTTTGCATGATCATAATCCTCGAAGGGATGATTTCTTTTTTATCTTCCCCTGCCTAATGTCCGTTTCAGTTCCTATAAAATTCAGGAAAGAAAAATCCGAAAAGCTATCCCCATAAATAATAGATTGAAATTAATTTTTGAAGCAGTCTCAATTAACCAAAATTCCACCAATCCCAGACATCCTAGTATTCTAAAAACTTTTGGAAATAACAGTCAACAAAATCACCAAAAAGCTCCAAGTAACTTTTAATATTATTTTTAAAGTGCATCAGCTTTGTTGATAAGTATATAAGAAGAGAGTATTTTCGTTTTGCCAAAACATCAGGCAGATGTGGATAACTGCATAAATTCGTTTGCATGAGGGATCCTAGGAGGGATGGTTTCTTTTTTATCTTCCCCTGTACTGAAGTCAGTTTCAGCTGCCTCTTAGAAATTCAGGAAAGGGACGGTACAGTCTTCGCATGCTTGTGGTTTAAATCAGTTAAAGCAACTGATTGCGATCAATGGCTTTCAAGCCCGTCTGGGTCCTCTGCGGAAGGACGAGGACAATTTGCAGATGGACTACTATTACAGAACGTGAACGGGGCTAGTGGCACGGCTGGTTCTCCGCAGAGGCGATAAACCGGTCATCCCACGGACTTTTCTCTAAGGAGATAGGGGTAGAGAGCGAGAAAAAGGGATAGAGAGAAACGGAGAAAATGCCTCGCCTTTCCAGAATTCCGGAAATTACTTCACCGAGGGTTATGATATTGATGTTCGAGACGCAGAAGACCTATCAAATTTTAACGTTAATAAAATACACCAGAGTAGGCTGGAGTAGGAGATGACCCTTTTAAAGGCTTATCTTGAACCGAAAAAGTTTTTAATCCAAAGAAAAGCCCAATAATAACGATTACATTAGGAGATTCTTAAAACAAGGAGATTTTGTTTTCGCCTTTTAAATTTTCAACCCCGTCTCAAAAACTACTCCTGTTTTCCAATATTTCGTCTGGAACATAAACTGATGTACATACCTACATAGATGATCTAGATGATGTAAAATTGGATCGTCAAATTTACCATAAAACTGTAATGAAACTGGCAAAAGCACGCTGCTAAAGATCTTATTTTAGATCCCATACTTCTTTACACATAGAAAACAGACAACGACAAATATTATGAAGGCATATTAAACTTTTAACAACGATCAGCATTAACTGTTACTAAAATTAAATTGAAACAAGTGTCCAATTAAACTTCTAAACTGTACACTCGTATCTACGTATTATGTACTCGTAGTTTTGATAATCATAATCACTGGTAATTGCTTTACATGTCCAGTTCAGAGTTCCGGGTGCACTGTGATGAAATTGATCCATTTGTTTCTCACAGATCTCTGTAACATCAACAAGGAGCATGTCGCATTGCCATTGTAATTATAATTACCTATTTTCTGTTGATTCCGTTCGAAAACTACCCGTACATGTCACAGCCAATGTGTGCTAGTCGTAACTAGTAGCAATGTTTACCAGCACTGTTAATGCTTTTACATTGAGGCAAGTAACTCATTCTCCTTTGTCATTAACGGGGTGTTTAATATCTACCATCCACCGCGCCGTCGAATATTAGTACGTTGAGATGGTGCATCCATTGTCAATATGCGCAGCGTCAGCACAACACCCTAACTGTCTTGTTTACCGACTATGGCGCGGTTAGACGTTTTATGATTACCAGAACCCGCTTATTAAAATGGATTTTAATTAAACGATACAATTCGCCACGTAGTTTCGAACAAGTTAACGAAACTAACGCCTAGTAATAACACTGATGCGACACTGTATACAATGTACGCCAGCATGTCTTTAGAATAATTGCATCTCCTACTAATCTAATTATTAAAACGGATTAGTGTTTTTAAAATTACTACACAATCTGTAAATTGATACCATAGCAAATAGTCGTCGATAAAATCCAACAGTTCCAATAAATGTTCGGTTTTAGATACTCACCATTTGCTCTTCAACGATTCTCGTAACTTCCTATTTACTGCTCTGATAAGCTAGTCATCTGAAACAAGAAGAATATTTATTTAATATCGTCATCATAAGGTCGTCACTGGTTGGACACGCACCTCCACTTTTTGTTATACTCAGCTAATGTTCGCATTTCCCTAAAACTAGAACATTCCACAGCCTTATCTATTTATGAACAGCAATCTAATCTAGTCTAATCTTATCTAACGTAGCGTTACAGGGGAATGATGAGGATACCGAGGATAGAGAAGGTTAAAAATGAAGACGTATTAGAAATAGTAAGAGAACAGAGGATTCTATGGAAGTCAATAAGAAATAAGTCAGATGGGTTAGTAGAACACCTTCTCAGGCATGAAGGTCTAGTCAGAGACATATTAGAGTCAAAAACAGGAGTTAAAAGAAGTAAAGATAGACCTAGATTAGATTACTGTTCGCAGATAGTTAAGCATATGGGTTGTTCTAGTTTTAGGGAAATGCAAAGATTATCTCAGGATAGGAAAGAGTGGAGGTGCGTGTCCAACCAGTCTTAGGACTGACGACCTTATAATGATGATGATGAATCTAATATAGGTCTATCTCTATTTCTCTTAGCTTCTGTTTCTGTTTCTAATATGTCTTTATGCTTTAGAAGGTGTCCTACCTATCTATCTCACCTATAGTGACCTCTGTCCTCTGTTCTCCTATTCTCATTTATAACCTTCTCTATCCACGGTATCCTCATCATTTGCCTATAACCTATCCTTTTCCACTGCGTCTACCGTCCATATTTTGCACCCGTACAATGCCGCCCTCCAGACATACACCTTTAAAAATCTTTTTCGAACTTCTAAATTAACCTTTCTCGAAGCGACTTCTTTTTGTTAAAGGCCACTTGATCCTGCGCTATCCAACGTTTTATATCTCTGCTACTCCTTCCATCCTCAGTTGTTTGACTTCCTGGATACCGAAAATTAACCACTTCTTCTAATTTTTTGTCTCCTATCCTTACACTTACACTTCACTACTTTTTCTTCCCTTGCATACTAGTATTTATGTCTCACTTTTATTTATTTATGTAGCTATACACAATTTTAAATCAAACCATGTATAAAATGCAAATACAAAGGCGAACCTACAAATAATATTAAACAAGACTTGAAACTCGATATATTTCACATTTTACAGAGTATGAAATTTCCCATGCGGTTGGTCGGCTTCCATATTAACTTTCAACTCCGGCATGAACATGTAGCCATGTAGGTACATGTCATTGTACTTCGAGAGCTCAAACAGATTTTGTGAGAAGCTTTAATTCAATAATAAACAGTGCAACAACAAAAGCAAAAAAAAACATGCGAGACAGTGCAGGAGAAAGAACTCCTCTATTGACTAACAACGCAAAATATTTCAAATCAAGGAAACATCTGTTGTGGAGATTCCAGTGCTGTATGTATGGCATCGTAATGTAAGTAGACTGCTTGAAATTCTGTTGAAGTGCTTTTTTTTGCCGATAGTTTTTACCAAACCTAATATTTCAAATAAAAATGTAAATCGCCCTGACTGACAGTGCGATCTTTTTGATAGAACCCATTTTTTGCGGCTATATACTTGCCTAACTTAAAATTTGTCTGTTGTCGCTAGATTTTACAGAAACGAATTCTTCTGTCTAGAATCTCCAGACGATTGAATAGGATAAAAATCCTTTGCTTTGTTTGCCTGTAAAGTCAATATTATTTCGCTTGAAACGACACGATAGGTAGATATAAAGTAGAAGCCATTTATACATTGTTAAGCACAAGAGAAAATCGAAAGTCATCAAAATCAATATCACACTGTTTCATGTAAAATACATTACGTATATTTATCCTTCAAGGTTTATTTTGGCTGTAATCCTTATCATCCTAATATCCAAAAATGTAAATAAAACTGGCGAGACATCGACAGATCCTGAAATAACTGAAGTGGCATCATCGTCTCCAATATTCTTCTTCACTTGGCCTGTGGCAGATGTAAACGTGTCAAAAATGTTTGACGACGATAGAGAATTATGGAGTTCATCCGTAATCGCTGGTAGAGTAGCTCTAACAAATAAAGATACCATTGAACAAAACATGCAGCATTTAGACATCGATAGTCCCAGCTATAAACATCAAAAGGTATTTCCTTATTCAGAAAAAGGAGAACATTATTCCAACATGGGATACGCTAGAGATTTTGCTACTAAATTTTTCCTTGAGTAAGTTTCATTTAGTAAGGAGTTCTATTAAGAATTTTAATTAATTGCTGATGTTATTGTAGTAACAAAAATGTTTCCATTCCTATAATTATCTGTCAAAATGAAAGCGAAGATGTTCTACTTTATGGAAATCGTCATGAACATATGGTGGTGTGCAAAAGCAATTCTAAATTTCGCAGTTACAATGGTAGCTGCAACAATCTACTACATCCAAATGAATATGGTGCAGCTTTACAAAAATTTAGAAGAGCCTTGCCTCCTGACTACGGAGACGGTATTCTTTTTGCAATTGCTTGTGTGTCGCCATTATTTAATCATTCTTCTTAACCAAAAGGTTTAAGCACACCTAGAAAATCTTCTAAAGGTCGAGATCTTCCTCCAGCTCGAACCATTAGTAACAAAGTTCACCCAACAACCGTTCAAGACGTCCCGGATTTTACCATAATACTGACAATATGGGGCCAATTCCTGGACCACGATGTAACGGCAACGGCTCTCTCAAGAGGCCCAAATGGGTCTTCCATCTCCTGCTGCGTACCAACAGTCCATCCTGAATGTTTTCCAGTGTTTCTGGACAACAACGACCCTTACTACCGAAAATTCAATATAACCTGCATGGAATTTGTGCGCTCTGCACCTGCTCCGGGTCCCTGTTTGGGTCCCAGGGAGCAGATGACACAAACATCTGCATTCATCGATGGGTCTGTCATATATGGACCTGACGAAACGACATCAAATATGTTAAGATCATTTCGAAATGGTCAACTAAAAATGCTGGTGACCAATGAAAATAGAACACTGTTACCCATCTCTGATGATCCCACAGATGGTTGTAACAGGGAAGAGGAGATGAAAAGAGGAAGATATTGCTTCATGACAGGCAAGTAATGGATAACATTTCTTACGTCTTTGTCTTTTAAGTTTTGATTGACTCATCCAAATGGGAAAGTCATTAAGAAGGTATGACTTTCTCTTTCAGTACTATTTACTACAAATTCGTAACAAATGATTACAATTTCCAGGGGACTCCAGGGCGAACGAGAATCTCCTCCTAACGACCATGCACCTGATCTGGGCGAGACACCACAACAGTGTCGCAAAAGAATTATCCTTGATCAATTCCCATTGGGACGACAAGCGAGTTTTTCAAGAAACTCGAAAAATAATTGGTGCTCAAATGCAACACATCACTTACAACGAGTTCTTGCCCATAATACTCGGTAACTAAGTAGTTGTGACGATGTCAATTTAAAATCTTTGAAACGTTGCTTCTTTTATTACGTAGGTAGAGATATTATCGAGAGAGGCGGTCTGAGGCCGCTGAGAAGGATGGGATATTACGACGGCTACGGAATTGACGTAAATCCCACAATAGCTAACAACTTCGCAACTTCCGCCTTCAGGTTTGCTCACAGTCTAATACCGTCATTAATAAAATTATCTGGGGGACCGAAGTACAACAGCGAATACATAAAATTGCACGAAATTTTATTTGATCCGTTTTATTTGTACAACTCGGAGGATCTTGACAGGAATCTCCAGGGGGCCGTACAAACGTCCGTTCAGGCCAACGACCCCTATTTCTCCGAACAGGTATGAAATTACGTAAAGCCCCTACTAAATAAATAAACCTCTTGTTCTCGGAATAACAACAACAATAACATTAAAAATAATATCATATAGAAATTATTAATGACTAGCGATTCGTGGCCTCCAGACATTTGATTTACAACGTTGAACCGCAAACTCATTATTTTCCAAACCAAAATACAACCCATTACACAAGAATACGTAGCTTTCTATCACCGAAAGAATTTTTCAAATCTCTTCAACAGTTTTGGAATTAACCACCAGATAGAAGCGAACAAATTTTACTTCTTTAACTAATAGTATACTTACAAAATAAGCAACACTTAACACAATAAATTCTTTAGCAAATTATGTAATTATTTATATGGGTATTTATATGGACATCGAGCTTTTTTGACAGTTATAGAAAAGCTATCGAAATTCTTTTGTTACGCGGGCAGGTGTGTTTCGTTCAGCGTATGACTTATGACCCTGATCGGTCCGCCGACATACACCAACCTTATCGATCGGTGCTTTCCAGTATGACACAAGTCTGATTTATTGCTACCGTTACGGTTGCTTCTACTTATTGATTGATTTTGCACGCGGCTGTATTCACAATAATATCCACATAATTATTTCATTATGATGGAATTATAATACAACTTGAAACTTCTCTTATTGAAGTAGGTTATTTCTCCTGTCTGTTAAGTTTTATTATTAATAAAGATGTAATTATTTTCAGCTTAGGGAGCACCTGTTTGAGGGTATTAATCGGAAAACTGGGAATAAAACGTGCGGATTGGATTTGGTATCCTTGAATATCCAAAGAGGCAGAGATCATGGATTGCCAGGGTACATCAAGTGGCGTCAATATTGTGGATTCAAGAAAGTTGAAACGTTCGACGATTTAAAAAACATTATCAATAATGTGTCCTATGTAGAAATCAAACAAGTTTACAGGTAAAATTCTTACTGAAATATTTGTCGTTCGATCTTCTGACGATCTGTAAAAATGAAAATGATAATCATTTTCTCGAGGAAGCAAAAGTAGGTAGATAAATTTAAAGTACTTACCGAGTAGTTTCTCGAACAAAAGTTACTTGATTAAGTTATCTATCGCGTCTACTTCTAGACGAGTTGATAGTAAAAGTAGTTAGATATTTCTTTGAAACAACTTCTGAAATCGAACGAATCCCCAGCATTATACAGATAACCTAAATAAATTTCTTAGAATTGGCTCTTCTCGAATAGAGGATCACCAGAATTGTGGAATTATAATTCAGTTCTCTACAACTAAATTTTAATCTTATCTACAAACTTACGAATTTCATTAAAAAACTATCCCAAGGCAAACAAACTTGAGCTTTGGATAAAAGGGTGGAAAGTGTTGTCACAAACTTAAGCCCAAGTAATGCACCTTATGTATAGGTGGATAATTAAAAAGGGGTTATGAGTAAAAACAAATGTCGATCAGTAGACCTAGCTCAAGAAAGAAAAACCCATCAAAACGTTACAGCTTTGCTGGAAGAAAGTTTAACCTCAAAATACTGCGGAACGATCGATTCCACGACCCTATATGGTCGTGTATGGTCTAGGTGGTGTAGAACGACATAAGCCTTCATTTTAAAAACATTGATTCGGCTGTTATTCTATTGATTCCAACCATATACCTCGCTCTGCAGCCCCAAATAAGTTTTCAAAAGTGGAAAACTGTTTGGCAATCCAAAGCCACGGTTCAGGTGATTCCAAATTACCTCTAGCACATGACTAACATAACCACATACCTACAAAAACGGCTTAAGCAAAATCTGCGAGTAAGACGTATATATAGTTCATCACCATAAGGTCGTCAGTCCTAAGACTAGTGGGACACGCACCTCCACTCTTTCCTACCCCTAGCTAATCTTAGCATTTCCCTAAAACTAGAACAGCCCACATCCTTAACTATTTGCGAACAGTAATCTAATCTAGGTCTACCTCTACCCCTCCTAACTCCCGTTTCTGCCTCTAATATGTCTCTGACTAGACCTTCATGCCTGAGAAGGTGTCCTACTAACCTATTCTTTCTAACACCTCTTCATTTCTAACCTTCTCTTTCCACAGTATTCTCATCATACATTTTTAAGTATATTTAACATCTTGTCCCATTAAAAGCTTTTTCTAAATCGTATGAATCCCCTCATAGTTCTTCCGCCCTTTTTTCCGTCCTCCTCTGTACTGTTCTGGTTAAGATTTTTGACGCATGGGAAGTTATATATAGTTATCTACCTTATTTCTCCAAAGACATTTTTAAATACGTATGACTCTGAAATGTCACTATCATTGTTACTTGTAACTTGTTTAGTGTCTTTTGGTGGATATTATTTAAATACCAAAAAAACACTAATAATAACAAATAACAATTTATAATAACCAGAACAAAACGAAAACACCAGTAACAAAAGGGCACAAACGAACGAGAACAATGTAAGTAACAGAAAGAACGAGATAATACAACAATAACAATAAAAATAACAAAGACAACAAAAATGAAAACAATGTAGCGAATAGCAATAGAATAAAAGCACTTACGAAAGGTGGTAGTAGCGGTAGACGAGAGACTCTCTTGAGATAAGAAATTTTCGAGTATTTATAGGATAGGGTTGTTAGTAATTTTGATAGAATGTTCTAGAAGGAAAAGTAGTGAGAGAGAGGGTGAAGACACTAGTTTCTAGGAATACACAGAATTAGATAGTACAGAATTCAAGAGAAAGCAATTAAGGGTAAAACCAGATATTAGTATGGGAGTGCATGCAGGTATGGTTGAAGTTGGATTTCCAGGTAAAAGTGATTGAAAGAACAATAGAGTTTAGACTGAAAGGAAATATTACTTGAAATGAAATATTAATTGAAATGAAATAAAATTAGAAAAAATATTTACACACAGAAAAAACAAAAAGAGTTATTTCGCCACACTTGTAACAATAAGAACTGTTATCACTATGTTTGTTTTTTTTTAAATACACAATTTCCAGGAACGTAGGAGACATAGACCTATACACTGGCGCTTTAAGTGAGCATCATGTTAAAGGAAGTATCCTTGGAGCCACCTTTGCCTGTCTTGTCACCGATCAGTTTGTCAGATTGAAAAGGGGAGACAGATTTTGGTACGAGAACCCACCACCCGAGGGATTCACTCTGGATCAATTGGCTAGCATAAAAGCAACGACACTAGCGAAAATTCTTTGTGACAATTCCGATCATGTGAAGGCGATACCCAAATCTGTCATGAAAAAAGTTGGCAAATCTAACAAATACATCTCCTGTTCTGATTTAAGGAAGACAAGATTGGAATATTGGAAAGACGACGTCTAAAACTTTTACCTTTCATTTACACATACATAGCAAACGTTATTTATCAAAATCAGATATTAATTAACAATTTTGATTAATTAACAGTAGGAAATATCATAAATAATCATAATCACAAACAAGTGTTGTACCTATAATACAAGAAATAAAAGATTAATTTTTCGAGTTTCTTTTTTTCAATCTAGTAATGAACGCGCCTTGAAGCACAGTCGACAAGGGATTCTACAATAAATCGATTCTATTTCGTTTTTGTTGGGTTCTCTTGCATTCATCTGCGAGACATATATATTTACTTTTTCGTGTAAATACAAGTTTCAAGCTGTCATCTCCATTTTGAATAGTTGAATTTGTTACCAAAAGAAGGGACCTGAACGTAGCATTTGACATTGAGGTCAAGCCGGTTGGTTGGTTTGAATATAATGTTCTTAAAGTGTCAATTCTTCTCAGAAAGAGTCGAAAAGAGGGCTAGAGAGTAGGAGACGAAAGGGGATCTCACAATGTAATCCTTTATTTAATGGCTTTACCGCTTCTTCTATCATTACTTACCTGACTTTCTACATATCTAAAATTGGAAACTTCTAGTTTTTCATCTCTAACACCAAACAAATCCAATATTACCATTCCCTTAAGAGATTTTTGATAATATATCATGTAGAAATTCATTTTCTTATGCCATTCTGCCGCATATTTGTTGGTAAATGTCGGATACGGACTATAATAGTGTATGGTAAACACACAAGAGTCCGTACGCCACATTTTTCGATAGATGCAAATGGTTAAGTGTTATGGATGGTCGACAGCCTTGCAGAAGGACCGGACCTCTATGCTCAGCCGATGCTGCATCTTTTTTCTTTTTTAATTTATGTTTATTAATCTTTAATTCATTTATTTTTAAAGAATTTTCTTATAATAGGTGACTCCGTCGTTCGCCTCAATATTTTCAATGACCGTTTCCGACTCGTTCTCCGTTTATTTGTTTTTGGTTTTATTACAGTTTATTTTATTTTTAAACTGAGCGAGTTGCAGGGTCGTAAAAAGGGTAGAGCAGAGCCCGTATCGCGAGAAAGCTCCGGCTTCTCATTCACTAGAATCGGCGAGAAGTGAGATCGGAATCTCGAGGGCGGATCGTCAACGCATCGCCTTTTAGACACTTGATTGATGCGACTCCTTAACGCATCGTCGGAGCAAACAAATTGTCTCAGTTTATTTCCCCAAATCAAATCATTTATGCTTAACTTTTTCTGCTGTACACGCCGCGTGACATAGCACGACGTTACCCGATGAGAAGGTCTTTATAGGGCGGTAAGGATGTTCGAGGAAGACTTTGTAGTTGTCAAATGGGACGGAGGGAAAGATTTCCAGGTCCTTTGATGCTTTAACAATAAGAGAACGTCGAGTCAAATACACAAAGGTCACGGATGCAATGGATGGCAAGGCGAGGCAGTTGTATATAAAGGTAGGACGCTAGTCCACATCTACGGCTGCATGTGCGTCGCTTAGAAATGATTTTTAAGAAACTCAATTTTCCTTATGTGTGTTCGCAAGAAATCTTTATCATTTCAAATTAACAAAAAATGATTAAAATTAAAAAAAATGGTAAATTACCGGTCCGGAATAGAACCCAAATCCGCCACCATACCAGTCAACCGTTTACACCACTTAGCCATTTACATTTTCCGAAATTATTCCATAAACAAGCTCGCATTAGCATATTAAGCCATTTATATTCTTCTACAGCGCATGTGCTATATCCCCAAGCCTGAAACATAGTCCTGTTTAGCCACATTTTTGACCAACAACTTCGAATTTAATATGTACATCATGTTCTCAGTTTTCATTCGAAAACAACCAAAGATTCGTTGACAATAATAAAGACACTGCAAGTCCTGGAAGAGGTGTGTAATAAATGATCTTGTTGAAGGAACATTTGATGAAGCTAATTTCATTTCCGGGAGGACAGTTTGAAGGTTATCTAATGAAACTTTGTACGACGAAGACAATAAATGTCCTCTCGAATTTATAAGGACCTCCTTGGTTGTGAAAAGCTTCGTGTCTGCATCATTATCATCGGTTCAGACCATTGCTATTGCTTTATAAATTCTCTTGTATCTTTTCCTTCACGTTTATTTCGTGTTTTCCGACTGAGTTGTTTGTGAAAATTCCGAATGCTTGAGCGACTATACATGTGAACACATCTATATATCTACACGTACTTTGTTTACGTTTTCTAACATAAAATCGAAATCGGCCTTGACTGAATCCAATTTATCACTGGGCGCGGATTTGTAAAATCAAATTCAATTTCCACAGCGAACGACGACTCATGCGATGCTGAAGTTCTTCTCTCGTTTCCTTTGGAATGAGGAGATTAATTTCTAGAATACCGTGCGAATTTTACAGATTCTTCTCGTCATACATAAATTATTATTCCATTTTTAGTATCTTCTTTCCTAGGCAGGTGGATTCAGACAGGATTAAAATTTATCAGGCCCCGAAACAAAACAAAGTGGTAATTTAATTTAGATTTGTAATTTGAAAAAGTTGACGTCTTGAGAATTAATTTTTCCACGGCAGTCCCGGAAGATGATAATAATGAAAGCGGCAAAAGGCGCGAGAATCGTAGAAATCTATGTAAATTCTTCGTAAAAAGGAGCCGGTCGTGGTATATTATTAGTTGGCTCATCCTCTTCAGCTTGATACTGATGATTATGAAGTCCGCCCTCGGACGATTGCGGTTAGGAGAAATTTAAATTAAAGCCCACAAGAGAGAAATTTCATTATGCCCACTGACCCTTAATAACCCCAATCTATTTTTCCACATTTCTGACAAAATTAAATACTTAAGTCTAAATATACTAAACGTCCTCATTTAGCAATAGGAGATACTATTAAAACTAATGATTTCTATCAAAACACGGCTAGAAATTTTACTGAACTTTTCCCAAAAACAAGAAAAATAGATAGGCCACACTGCACTCATAAATATACGAATGTCAAATTTAAAATGTACATTTTTTTGGCAATTTCGTATTGTTAGTTACCGTAAATTTACAAGTTTTTGCGAACTGTTTGTTGAACGTTTTATTTTATTCGTTAGGAGTATAAAGTCATAACTTTTAGGCATTTACGATCGCTATTTTTATCGGAAATTAACGACAACGGTAATAAATGTCGTCGTTTTACCCTTTTAAAAATGTCTAGTAATAAAAATAGTCATAAAGTGTTCTCAAAGCCATAATGTGTTACCTAGATAAAAACAATAGTAATAATTATTAACAGTTTGAGCCTTTATCAGAGACATATTTTCCATTGGAAATTTCTCGTTTTTGCTTTTCGTTTATGTACCTACAATACACCTACCACCCCAATTAACATTATATTCCAAAAAACAATATAACAAAACACATACCAGACCATATATTTGGTATTGATTCAAAATATCTTTTAGCGAGTAATTCGATTCATATAACTACAGACCTTAGAGGTATCTGGAACGCAGAGAGAGACAGGAAGTGTACCGCTACAACCATTCTCTCTCTAATGACTAAATGAAGGGAGAACCAATCAGGCAGCAAAAGAGAGATAACGAATGTAGCGGTACACTTCCTTTCTGTGCATTTAGGCTGTAGTATTGGATGATTTTTCAAACTGTAGTAGAGGTAGTTTAAAATTTCATGGGCCACGATCTTAAATTACTCAAATACAAAACTCCACGTTCATGGAGTTGTACGTCTCACTCAAAGCATTGCTGCTCAAGTCATCATTGTCTACAGCATTCCCTAATGGTTTAATGATATTCTACACAGCAGGGTCATGCCTTTGATCTAACCGAAAATGCCGGTGTTTTTGCAGGCGGTCATAAATCAACCTTAGTGCGCTAGGCGGTTAAATGCTAGAACAGTTCCATACCTTTACAGAAGTGTACAGAAGATGAAACGGCGCCCCGTCTCATGACCTCATGTACTACAATGTACTGTAGAAAGGGACGAGCACACTGTATAACATGTCCTTTAAAGTACAGACTCAGTCTTCCTACTGCGTCACCGTGTCAGTGAAAATGCATAATAACTCAATTTGACACGAAAATAATAACGACTAGTACGGTACTACTAAATCATCCCGTATAATTACTCGCATTAATTTATCGTCGTCTTTTCAGCCCCTAAAACTATTCAGGTGTAATAAACAAGAGTTAAACTGAAACACAATTAAGTAGAATGACATTTGACACTTGCGCGATCCCAGAAGGTCTTGATTAATATACGTCGTACATATTTAACCCAACTGAACCTGTATCTGGAATTCCCCAACAAGAGCAACAATAAGGACTGTTCTCGTGCAAAATAATTTTGATGATTGAAATGATTCTCTATGATCGAGGGACCAAACACTTAATAAGTTTTAGCTCATGCCTGATGAGTGAAATTAGTAAATCAATGATTTTTTTTAAACCTAAAAGCTTAGAACAACATAAACAAAAACTAAATAAAACTTTTGATATAGCAAAATATATAATTAAATTCAGTTCATGAATTCGAATTGTACGTTCTTATCTTCAAATATCCTTCAGACTTGTTGGTCAGTTACAAGTTCTGCTAGATCCAGAAGGTACAGAAATAAACTTTGGTAATCTAAGTAGGTTTAGGTTTTCCCCTAATAGAACTAAAGTAATAATAATACATCGGTACATATGTTATATTAATATTCTACTTCAGAATATTTTCATAGAAACTATTGATTTGTAGCATATAATTCACCAATAAGTTTTGGCCTTTTCAAACAAGAGCGCCTACTTGTTACTAAAAATACGTACCTATATTAGTATTTCTTCTTGTGAAAATATTCTGAAGTATAGTTTTTCTTGTTACGGTGAGTTTTCATCAAGTAGAGATCGAAATTACTCAGTTAGAATCAAATTATTGAGAAAAAGCGTTTATATCAAAGCATCAAAGGGCATTGGATTCACTTATAATACGTTTATTCTAGAAAATACGTTACTACACCAACAATTGTAGGTTTCATAAGTTGTTTTTAACGATAGTCAGTTATGGTGATAATTAATTTTGTACCAATGTAGCATAAAAGATATGGACGTATGAAAG